GTAGCTGTATTTTTCTTATCAGGATTCATGCAGTTGGTAACCTTTAGTTAAGTGCTAATTAAATGTAAAGTATCGTGACTGAGTATCCAAAGGTAAATAAAAAAGGAGCTTATAACACACCAGACTCCAGCAAGCACCAAAATGGTCATATAAACAAGATCCTATAATAGGAAAGAGGACAGAATTAATTCTGATTGATCAGAAGTAGCATCTACTTACCAGCAATGTGACTCTGGACACATTACTTAACCTCTATGTGCCTCACTTCTCTCTTCTGTAGAGATAATAATAATACCCCTCGTAGGACTTAGGAAATGCTGAACTAGTTTGTATGTTGTAAGTGCTTCCAACTATCCTTGGCACCAAGTATGTGCTCAATAGAATCTACATAAGATTCGTTTTACAAAGGATATTCCAGGTTTTTAGGAGGAAAGATGAAAAGATTTCCCAGGCAGAGGTAACAGCCTGAGTAAAAAACACAAAACGCATTGAAAGTATGATGTGTGCTGGAGGAATTCAGTGTTGGTAGAATTTTCTTTTAATGGAAAATGTTGAGAAGAAGTCCTGGAAATGTGGTTAGGCACCAGATTAGAGAGAGCATTGTATATCAGATCAAGAAATTTGGACATTGATGTTTATATTTTCAAAAAGTGAGCTTTGTGACAAAAAAATGATGTTTTGTAGAAAAGGTATAGCCCAAGGAGCCCAGTTAGAGTTACTAACTGGTTATTGCTATAGCCCAAGTTAGAGATGACGGGGCCAGGCTGGGGACAAGCCATCCATGGGAAGGGCTACAAGAACCAGCATTCGATAGCAGAGACCTGACCAAGAGCAGAATATCCACTACAGGTATATCCTTTCCCTTCTCTAGAAAATAGAATTGTACTTGATAAAATCTTACTGTTCTTCATCAAATTCTGTTTGAGATTTTTACCTTCGAATGACCCAGGAACATGATAGCCTCATATATTATACTTAATTAATTTTATGACTCACTATTTAAAGTAAATGGAAGTTTTAAACTTGTTTTTTATCATGAGAGTCCCTGTCTGGGCAGTAACTAGGCAGAAAAAAATAAGATAAAAGATGTACTTTTTTTCAGGAGCCACTGAGTAGAAAAAGAAAGAAAAGGCAACATGGGTACCAAACCTTAAGGAAATATGAGAGAATGTGGATTTGCTCAATTTAAAAGACTGAGCAAATGTGTATGTGCCTATAGTTATTATTTTAATACCAATAAATATCATTTCTTAAACCCTTACTGTATGCCAGGCCCTGGCCCCTGTATTATCTGTATTTTCTCATATGATCATCTCAGGAACCCTATGAGGCAGGTACAATTATTACCTTTGTCTTGTAGGAAAGAAAAGTGAGCCTTAGAAAGATTATGTTAATTTTAGTCTAAGCTAGAGGGGAAGGAACTATAGGTGGGGAAGTGTGCTCAAAGCAAAATTCAGACCCAAAATTGATTCTAGAGCCCACACACTTGGCTGTCCTCTACTGAGAGCACCCAAAAAATATTAGCAGGGAACACTGTGTGAAAAGCTAAAAAAAATTCACATTGAGACACATACCATTATTTTTCACCAAGTATGGTTCTTTCTCTGGCCAAGGAAATACCTTAGAAAGGTAAGCTTCCCTTGACGTCAGGCTCAATAGTCAAAGCATAATTCCTCTAAACAACCCTTTGATGTTCTCTCCACTTACCAATTTATTAAAGTCTTTTGTCACCCCCTTTGTGTCCTTCCAGTCCACTCTGGATAAGTGCTAATATCCAGGTAGGTAGAACAAATAGTGTGACCAAGTGGGAGGAACCTCTGAGTCAGAAGGCGAGGGACTGGGCCATCTACCTGTGTGTCCTGGGTTAGGTGAAGTAACCTCAGTTGTAGTTTTCTCTTCCAGAAAATGAATTGATGTCCTCTGTCCTTTATGATCTAATGATTAATTAGTTCCAAATTTGCCACCTGGAATCTGTGTGCAGAAATTCTGCTTTATTTCTCCTACCCCAATTGTCTCCTCTACCAGATGTGTGTACTAGAGACTCCACACTAATTTTCACATCTCCATAAGCAAAACACAAATGCAAAGGTAAACCTGATACTTCGCAAATAATATGGTATATTCTATAACCAAAAATAATAAGTGATTTTCTGATTTTGCTCTGTTTTGGAATATCCGCATTACTGATAGTTTTCATTAGCATGACATGGTTCGGAGTTGACTACACTGGTTTTACTCCATACACCACTCGGAAGGAGTCTACCTGTGTTGTGATAGAACTCATCTCAGGCTTTAGTGAGCCATGGTGTGGACTAGGGAAAAAGGTATCTGCTTTTTGCCCAGTCAACCAAGAACACACTTCGGGTTTTTCCGCCTGTTCTCCAACAGATCTGTCATCTGATGAGAACCCTTGACTTCCACCCACTGTGGCATTATTCTCATGCCACCCGGCAGGGATCCTGACTCAGTGGACATCTTGATACACTGCTCCTTTTAGGATCCCTCTTTTGACTTTCACCAGCAGAATGTGACTGCCAATCCAAAGATGTATTTCTTTAATGAATTTAAGACTCAAAAATTTGAGTGGAAACAACTAAGCTATTCATCTTTCATCAGACTCCTGGGGAAATTTAGCCCTCATTTTTTTCCACACATAGGACTGATAAGGAAAAACAAAATGGGCTTCTACTGTGTTTAAGATCTTTTCTTTTTTTGTCTCCTTAAATCATTGGCATTCTATAACTTCCTTCTGTGATCGCTAACATCTCTACTTTCATAATTATGATTAGTCAAGATCTCTCCTCCTTGAAGTCTCCATTTCTGCAGTCTTAAGAGCACCAATTTGGTTTTATTCCAACACATTTACTGGTGTGTACCTTTTAATGATAAGATCTAAGAGTCTTGGCCAAACCAAAGCCAAAGGCAGACCTGCCATTATTAATTCAAACAGTTCCTGGGACAAGTTGAGGCAGTGTGCTCCAACTTGGCCTGAAATTTAGTTAATTAATTTAGTTAATTTAGTTCCTAAATTACCTTTCTCCTTTCCTGCCCCATACCCACCAAGAATCCCTATACCAAAAAGAATCTTCTTTTTCTGTTTTGAATAGCTTTGACCAAATTGTGAGGGAGATGGTGGTTTAGCTTTCTTTGGGCCTTGCCAAGTTTTTAAGGCACAGTCTGATGCTCTGTAAAAATTATTCTGTGAATTTTAAAACAAAATGATTTGAAAATGAAGATATTATGATAGAAAATAGCCTTCTGATCTTGCCTTATGCATTATAAGGAGGTCAGGCTTCCACCCCAGAAAGATGGCAAGAGAACTATATTTCACATAAATGTTGTTTGCTCTCCCTCTCTAGGAGACTCTATAATAGGTATAATTTGGCATATTAATAATTATGCAAGTATAGAAAATAGTGTTTCCAATTATATCTCAACACAAATTTTCATTAAAATAGTTTTATTAGAGTAGTTGAGCCCAATGCTTCAGGTAAATGGAATTGACTTTATTTTTTACAGAATCAGAAGCAAAGAAGTTGGCACCCTTCTAAAGAAGGAAGGTTAGCTTTTAATTTATGATAGGCTTGGCCAGCTGCAGACTTCACTGTGTCCACACTTGGAGTTTATCTCTACCAGTGAGTCAACTGACAGCTAGTAGCGTGGCAACCCTCTTTAGTATTCATCTCTATAAAAACAGATCCGATTATAGAGCCTTAGAGTTAGATGAAGGGGTATTAAATTCTTTCTCTATTCTTCTGAGGCTGAGGAAGGAAAACTTCCTGTGTGCTGGAAACATGTTCCCCAATTCTCCCAAACAGCTTCTACAACATTTGTTTACCCTTTATTTAACAATTTTTATTCAATACCAATCCTGGGACACCTACTGTGCTAAGATGCGGTCCAGTTAAAGAGAGGCAAGTTCATGAAACATTGTACTGAAACTGGAGAAGCTTTCATGAACCAGCTCATGAACAGCCTTGGATGCCATTCTAATCTTGAAAGTCCCTGGCAATGGCAATCATGTTACCATACATTTGCATAGACCCTTTATTTTCCAAAGTAGTTTTTTGGTTTTGATGTCATTGGATTTCTACGTCCACCCTATGACGTAAAGAGAGGGGGTCTTTCTGTCTCCTGATGACAAATAAAGAAAAGGCTTGGTCAAGGGCACCCAGCTAGTGAGTGACAGAACAGCCATGAGAAGCCAGGCTATGGATTCCTAAGTCAAAAACATGTCATCATTCAGCCTCTGCTTGTACACTTTGAGTCTAGGTGGTGGTATTCCCACAATGACCTGCTTGCTCATGGGCAAGTGCTTATGCTCTGGAAGATGACAGGCTCCTCTGTGTATCCTAGGTAGTGCTCCACACAGTGCCTTTAACTAGTCAGTGCTCAGTAGATGACTTTCTATATGATATATTTGATACTGTTTGAATTTTACATTGTAAGTCTCCTTTATTTTTGTCCTTTGGGTGGGGAGGGAAACAAATGTGAAGAAAATCAATGAGGAAAAATTAGCTGGCCAATGTGAGTGCAGAGATTGGTTTTTCTGATGAGTCCTTACCATCCTACCCACTTAGGGACACCCATACCTTTGCAGGGCCCTATCGAGTGGATGGGATAGTGCCTGGGCTCTGGTAGGGAGTCACCAATGTTAGTCCTCCTCCATTTTCCACCGTCCCCTCTTCTCTGGAGAAACGAAAGGGGAACAGCATCTATAGTGAACCGTATCCCAGCAGGAAGCAGTTGTAGCTGACTGAACCAGCCCAGGCAAGTCTTATGTCTTCTGCTTATTAGACTAAATCAGAACTCCCATCCTTTCATTATCAAGGACCCCAAACTTAGGTGGGCCTCCCCCAGTCATCCTTAGCTCAGAAAATTTTGGTCATCAAACTACAATTCTTTTTTTTTGAAGTGTAATCGCCATTTATTTTTTTTCTGGAGAACGGCTTTTCTTCAGCCCTTAAGGACTTAGCTCCTTACATGGGCTTTGGTAGAGGTCATGGGGCAGCACCCGCAGGTCTAAATCGGGGTGAGGGTGTTCGGTCCTTCCATGCTTCACAAGAGCGATTCCTGACTACCTTGCTGTGAATGGCACAACTCACACAATAATGTAGTTTCACATACAGCTTGGGAAGCACATAGGCGTCGAAGACGCTCGCTTCGGAAATGTCCCTGACGGCGGCAGCCTCTACTATGTTCCGAATAACGAACTTCTTAATGGCCTTATCCTTGGGCACACAACGGGCGCAGTTGGTGCAGCGAATAGGCTGCACGTGGCCGCAGCCCTTTTTGGCACGACCATTATTCCTTCTTTTCTTGGTCATCTTGGTAGCGAGACCCAAGAGATCAAACTACAGTTCTTAAGCAATCATTTTTTCATTTCTTTGTGTTGTCAATCAAAGGCATATAAAAATGCCAAGCAGAGATGCTGAGTTGTCTGAAATTACCAGTACTGACTAGAGAATCCTGATTCAAAGCAAGGAAATGTGCTCTTTCTACTTAGTATCTACAATCTTATCATTGGTAAATCCAGAATTTCCATTAAGCTCTGGTAGCATTTGAACATGGTTTTCCACCTTGGTCAGAACTTCAGAAACTACTGAGAACCATTTAGGATGTGATGGGAACGTCTCCTCCAGAAAGCCTTCCCTGGTGCCCATGCTGGGCCAAGTGTGTCAGAGAACTCTGCTTACAACAATCTCTGTGGTATCCAAAGTGTAGTCCCAGACCAGCAGCATCAGCATGTCCCAGGAACATGTTAGAAATATGAATTCTTCCCTCCCCCGCAAACCTGTTAATCAGGTCTGGCATAGGGCCCTGCAATCTTTGTTGAAACAAGCTAGCTCTCCATGATTCTGATGCATGCTCAAGTTTGAGAACCCCTGCATCTTACCGACAGACACATCATATAAAACAATCAGTTTATATGTGTGCCTCCATACTGGACCAGAAGTTGTTTGCAGGTAAGAAGCATTTATTTTTGTATCCAGTATATATAAACACTGTGTGTGTGTGTGTGTGTGTGTGTGTGTTTTACAAAAATAGGATCATACAGTAAATACTTCTGTAACCTGCTCTTATTCGCCCCCAGCAGTATATCACGAACATTCTTTTGGGTACAGGTATTTTGTGATACGATATTTTATGGCTGTGTACCATCTGGTTATATCAAAATTTCTTTAATTCTCTAATATTGGACAGAATGGAATTCTTTTTTAAATTAATTTTTTATGAAAATAATTCATGCATATACTTAAAAATATGCTTAAAAATGGCAACCATCCACCCCTCCCCACTCCTCATTCTTACCTGCAGAAGCAAGGTCTTCATACGCCTTTAGATGGTGCTCTTTACATCCAGGCTTCTAAATAACATACATACACTTTTCTGATGTCTCAAGTTTAAACATTTGCTATGAAATTCCTGGGCTGGCAGTTGAGAATTCATCTCCCTCATGTCCCCACATACATTCTTTACCCATTGTTCCAATACAGCTTTATCATAATTCTTAGTTAATGTAAAAGTTCAATATTTAAAACTGTATGACTGTTATTCATTGCAAAGCCAAGAAGTATGCCAGGGTTACATTTCTTTTCTTGAAAAACATTTTTTGAATGATTTTCATCCCCTAGTATTTTTACTTACACAGTTTTCTAAATAATCCGTCAACATTTCCACATGCGCGTTAATTTCCCCCCTAAGATTCAAGCATAGTGCCACATCTGGCCCGGCTGTGTGGTTGTCATTACAAGATCCCCACGTTGCCTTTGTTGCTGGACTTCTCATTCCTGGATCCCTTTCTTTCTTTCTCCGTTAATGCCCTCATCTTGTTAGATTACATCTTCCAGAACTTCCTCAGAAAGGGTGGATTAAAATGATAAGTTTTTTTGCATTTTTGTCTGGAACAGTTCTCATTCTACCCTTACACTGGATTGGTAGTTTGATCGCATATATAGAATTTAGCCGGGAAGTCCTTTCCCTAAGAATTTTGAAGGAATTGTTCTATCCTTTTCTAGTTGGGAGACCCTGATACTATTTTGATTTTTTACTTCTTTGTGCCTGACCTGTTTTTTTCTCATTAGAAACTGTTCAAATTTGTATTCATCTCTGGAGTTATGATATATTAATATGATATGCTTACATTTGGGTCTTTTTAAGTGGATTGTGCTAGGATTCTGCAAGCAGTTGGAATATGGAGACTCCAGTTGGTTCTTCTGCTCTGGAAAATTTTCTTGAATTATTTCTTTGATAATTTCATACTATCCATTTTTTTTTTAGTCTCTTTCTGGAATTTCTTTTTTTTTTTTTTTTTTTAAAGTTTTATTTATTTATTTGAGAGAGAGAATGAGAGACAGAGAGTACAAGAGGGAAGAGGGTCAGAGGGAGAAGCAGACTCCCTGCTGAGCAGGGAGCCCGATGTGGGACTCGATCCCGGGACTCCAGGATCATGACCTGAGCCGAAGGCAGTCGCTTAACCAACTGAGCCACCCAGGCACCCTCTTTCTGGAATTTCTGTTCATCTTGTACTAGATACGGATTTGTTCTCTAGATTTCTTTTTAGCTTTCATCTCTGTTCTTTTATTCTGTTTTCTATAAGATTTATCTAAATATACATTCAAATTATTAGGTTTTAAATATTTAGTTACTAAAATTTTCATTTTCAACAGTTCTTTTGCATTCTCAATTGTTTGTTTCATAACAACCTGTTCTTATTTTATGGATGCAGTATTTTTTTATTTACATTATGTCATTACATTTTCTTCTGTTCCTGCATATATTATGTATGCATATTATTTTTTATTATTTCCTTTATTCTGTCCATTTTGTTTTTTGGCTTTTATTTTGTAAGCTTTCCTCAATTTATGGCAACCTCTGCTACTGATTTATATTTAAGAATAATGAAAAGAATAAAGGCTGATTGAAAGTTGTATGTTACATGGAGGGCTTTGTGTTCACTGTAGTTTGTTCTTGCTGAGCCAGCTTTTTTGGAGGACTCCTAATTTTGTATATGCAGGTTTTACTTTAGGGAGATACTTAATGTCTCCAGGAAACACCCCGATCTCCTGGGGATATAATGCAGTTGCCAGGATGCTGAGGATCTACCCATTCAGCGCGCAGATTCAGGGTTTTCAGCACAAGGCTTCATCCCCACTTGCCATTGTGCCCACTGTTCTCTTTATTTCGGTTATACTAGAGAACTCTTTGCCTCCTCTCTGGGGGAGGAGTGCAGTTGCATGATGATTCTCTAAGTACAGACTTTGAATCAATACTGCATCTCTCTTAGCTCGGCATTTTGCTTTGCCTTTTAGAGTATCTTGGATTCTTAGTCGGGCTGTGACTAACCCTATAAATGAAAATTGCTTAAGTTTTCAGAGCCACCTTACTTTTCTCTAGAAAATATAAACTTCACAGGGACATCATAAGGCACTGAATCAACTATATATGTAAAAACACTTTGTGAACTCACTATAAAGCACAATATAATTCTGCAACAAGATTGTGACTCCTCAGTGTGGTATTAGAGGGGACCCTCATACTTTTCCACTGGCATGCCCAGTGCTCTGTTGCTGCAGATTTGTATGGTCTGCTGCAGTTTACAAAATGCTTTTACACATTCCTAAAGGTGGGGGAGAATAAACTTGCCCCTTTAGAGGCTGAAAGCTAGTGAGCAATTTCTTTTAAGCCTTACATAATCTTAAAAATACATGTGGATCTTTATGTGCACCCCGGTGTTTATAGTAGCAATGTCCACAATAGCCAAACTGTGGAAAGAGCTAAGATGTCCATCGACAGATGAATGGATAAAGAAGATGTGGTATATATATATATATATATATATATATATATATATATATATATACACAATGGAATATTATGCAGCCAT